AAGATTCTTTGTGTAGCCATGAAAGAGACCGCGCCCTGGAGAGCCCCTGCCCTGGGAGCTGGCCTCAATCAGCTCCTCCATCGGCATTTTCTCCGTGAGGACTGGAACATGCTCAGACCATTCTCCCTTTCAGCAGCCCCCCCCATGGCCCCTCCCCCCCACCGCCCAGTGCAAATCTGTCCGGGCCATCTTAACTAAGATGTGACAAGTCCTTTCCCCGCAACGTTCCCTGTTCCCCTCCCCCTCTTGTTTATCATATCTGCCTTTTTCACTCTCCCCTGGGAACAATGGCATTCTCTAACACAGCTGGCATTGTCAGGCCAGAACAACATGAAGCAAAAACCGCCCGGCCTCCTAGGAGAGATGGCATGTGTCCCTCAGGAGAGAAGAAATCTAGGTGGCCATTGGGGCTCTCAGCCTCTTCTGTAGCCTCACCTGCTGGGGCTGCTATCAAAAGCTCTTCACGCCCCCTCCTTGTCATCCTCCCATCCCCTGCACCCCCTGCATCCCCTTGGCTCGGCTGGCTCGGCCACCTCACCCCTGCCCTCACCTCTCCTTGCTAACTGTCAGTTTTCCAAAGTCTCCCATATCCCGGCACCCAGCAGCCCACAGACTTCAGTTGCTTCCACTGTGGGGGAGGGTGAAGACCCTCCTGGCCCAGTGGCCCTGAGCTTGGACCCCACCTGTGACCGCCCCCCCAAAGGTGGCCTGCCTGCTACTTGGCCAAGGCCTGTACCCTCCCATGCCTCTGCCTCCTTGCTGCCCACTGCAGGAGCCAGCTGCCACGAAGCCCCTGGGGGACTTGAACTCTGAGTGCTGACAGTCAGGAAGTGATTTCTGAACTTAACTTATGCAAACATAAATCCTAAAACTTCTGTCTCCACTCTGTTCTTGGAAAACTTTCAAACTTTTTGAAACAGTGTAAGTAAAGGGACCTGTTTTTGAAGCTGTAGCTTTGATGAACTCTAAAGGCAGGGCTGGCTAGCCAGCGGAACCCTGGTGCCTGAATTTGGCATCCACACCAAGGTATGGCGTAAGCATAAAATGTTAATTGATTTTTGTTTTATTTTGGTTTGGTTTGGTCTTGATATGACAAAAATCAATTAACATTTTATGCTAACAAAGTTGCTAAAAAGTTGAAAACAACATTTCTGGTTCCAGTTCTGTTTCTCATAGACATGTTCACTTGTATCTCTGCTCGAATGTGAGCTGCACTTCAGGCCAGCCACGGCTTCCTCCCTACTGCTCAGGTTCACTCCCTGGTGGCAAATATTGGTGTGTTGCCTTTGATATGACCCACACCATACATGTGCATGTTTGCAAGGCCTCATGCCTGTGTCTCTGTCCATGAGTACACATGTCTGCAGCAGATCTCATCATGATTTCTGGAACACAGACACAGCGCACTGACAGATGTCTGAATAAGAGTCGGCCTGAGGACAGGGCCTTGGGCATGGAGCCTCAGATTGTCCCTCCACTTCCACCTCCCAGGAAGACTAGAACAGACGGTGCTTCCACGACAAGCTGATGAGAATGTCAGGTAAGACAGAAGAAGCTACAGGCGCCCTGAAATCAAGATCGATGGCAGCTGCTTCACACCCCTGGCTGAGAGTGTCTGTCACTCCGTCACTGGAGAGAAATTAAATTGCCGTGCGACGTTGTTTCCTGTTCCCACAGCCAATTTGGTCGCTGTTATGTAGTGTCATGTAATTTCAAGATGCTGCCTGATTGATCATTTGGTTTATTCATAAATATCCTAGGTGTGGTCTGCAGAGCAAACTCCACCACAGAACTTGGAAGGGGGAGGGGATGCTTGTTTCTCTTCTAAAGGCACAACACAACTCAGGCTGGGTGCAGCTTGGGGGCAGAGCATTACTCGGGATGCATGAAGCCCTGGGGTCCATCCCCAGCACCACTCCAGAAGGAGAAGTAGATGTTGTATCCAGTCATCTATCTACCCATTCAGGCTGCCATTCCCCCACTGAGCTGTCCAGTTATGCAGCCAATATACTTGGAACCCTGCTGAGAGCTGGGCACTGTCAAGCCTTTGTAGATGCTTCTAGAAAACTTGATTCTGATACCACCCTTAGGCAGATGTCACGTTCTCTGGGCCCAAGTTCCTCGAATAAGTGGAGCTGAACTTCTGACCTCCAAACTCTTAGGACCCCTGCCTTGTTTTCTGGCCAGAGATTTCTCATTTGCAGGCAGTGTCTTTCTTTCTCCCTGTCCTCAGAGGCTGCTGGCCAGTGTGCTGGGACAACAGAAGAGGACTCCAGGGTTCAGAGCGTCACCAGTCCCCACAAGCTGACAGTCCAGTTATCGGGAGTGGGCTGGCCCTGGGACAGGAAGAGCCAGCTCAAGTGAGCACAAGCGAGATTGGCTGTGTCCTGGAGATCTGGAGCAGGGTTGATCCCACAACTGGAGGTCAGTAGTTTAGAGGCTGCAACTTGCACATGGGATTCCTTCTGGCTTCTTTCCATGCCACAGCCAGAATCCCGCACTGGGCATTGCCAGGACTCCTTCCCTTGATGTATGGGGTAAACTCTCTCCTTTCCTGGCCTTTTCTTTCTGACTCCCAGGACCCCTTGCCTCTCAACTTCCCAGACATTCTGCTTCCCAGTCCTCCTGGCCTGGCCTCCTTTCTGGGATTGCTTCTCATACTTCAAGCCCACCCATGGGGTTCTAGATATCTAGTCTGGCTGGTTGTCCCACCCACCAAGTCCTCCTAGGAACCTTTGGCTTCAGTCTAGCTGATTGGCACAGTGGCAGAGCCCTGTCGCTCCAGTTTCTATGAGTGCTACCTCTCCCTTCCCCCATAAAAGTCAGATGCGGCCAGCTCTCCGAGCCCTGTCTGTGCGACATCAGTCTTCATAATGAAGGAGTCTGATTGCGGGCTGTCTGGATGGCAGGTGGGCGGAAGCGGAGGGACAGAGCTGGAGAGAGGTGTCTGTTGCGGCTGAACCCTGCTTTGATCCGGCCTGAGTAGAGCAATTTTCTCCATCTCCTCCTCCAACGCTGAAGCCAGCAACAAACCTGCCCAACCCACACTTCGAACCACAATACAGGACGTGTTACAACACCCCAGCATCCAAGAGAAGGGGTGAGATGGAGAATAGGGGTTCTGGGAGTGTAATACCTCCACGAGACCCTCTCCCCTAACTTGCTGAGAAATCCTCCCCTCTCCTGCCTCCTCTCCTCTTCAACTCAGGCCACAGCAGTCCCGTTTTCTTTTCTGGAGCCCCTGAGCCCAGCTTAGAAGCTGGGACTTAGTAGCTGTTCAATAAATGTTATTGAATAAATGAATTTTCAGCTCTCAGATCACGCTGAGGATTTCCTGGTAACAAGCCAGTTCTGAAGGGGCTCGAGGGTATAATTTATTCATGGAGCAGCGTTCTTTAAGCAGCGCGCAGGTTCCTGGCACTGTGCCAGGTGTTAAGGCCCAAGATGAGGAGAATATTAAAATTCAACAGTCTGCATGGAGCTCTCATTGGCACCAGAAGCTATGCTGGGTTCAAGAGATAAAGTGAGTGGCACAGATATTCATGCCTGCCATAGGAGGCAGGCAGTAAGAGAGTTAATGATGAATCATCAGCAAGACGGCTCCAGATTGGGTATGGGCTATAAAGGAAACAGGTGGGCTTGAGGATGGAGACCGTTTGAGTGGATTGCTTTGGACAGGGGAATGCCAGGGAGAGAGCTAGAAGACACGAAGACTGAGCCGTCAGCACAAAGGCCCTGGGGTCAGAATCTGCTGGTGGATTTGAGGGACACAAAAGGCAGTAGTGTGGCTTGGGTGCGTGACTGAGGGCAGGATGGGGGTGCCCATGCCACTCTTCTCTGCACGTGAGCAGCAAGTCAGAGCAAAGGCAGGAGCTGCCTGGGAGGCAGGGATATTCAGGGAAGCGCTGAGCCCATTCATGAGGAGGACACATTGGCACCAAGTCCTGACATGGCACCGAGACTGGCCTTCTCCCCAGGGTCCTCCCTTCCCGGTCAGGAGTGACTCTGGGGTGGCACCAGCCACATGCTGTGCTGGCCCCTCCCCACAGTGATGTTCTTGTCCTGAGGCTTTTTGCAGCCACTTTGGGGTGCCTGTGGCTGGCGTCTCCTGGGGTGAGTGAGCAGGAGAGTTTAGCAGCTGCTGCTGTGTCTAGGTAATGTTATCAAGGCACGGCACTGCTTTCATCTTGCTGGTTCCCCCAGAGCTTTGACTCTCACCGAGCCCGGCATCCAGCAAATAGCCCCATTGCTGCCTTTTATCTGGCTGACTTTCAACTTGAGCCGCTCTCTTCCAGGGCCCAATTGCAGAGCTGTACAGAGCTGCAGTCCTCAGAGTGGGCTGTGCCAAGTGCACAGCGATAATGCTAATAACTAATGGTGTAGCAATAGCTGGAGGTCAGCTCCCTGTTAATTAGGGTCTGGACATGCCCAGCACCGTGCTAAATGCTGGCTGTGCACCAAAGCAAATCTCACCATCACAAGACATGTCAGTATGTATTGCATGACTCTTAAATGATCTTATAATAATAATAATAATAACCCGGAGCCAGATATTGGGGTAAATGCTGAAAGATCAGAAAAACAAAGGAACAAGCCACTAGAGAAACTTCCCACCAGTACCGATTCCTCAGGCCAAATGGAAGGTGAGATCCTATCTCCATGAATTCTCTGACTGAAAGCCTCTGAGTCTTCAGCCAAAAAGGGCTTGAATCCTCAGCCGAAAGGCTTCTGGTTCCTGTCTCCTCACACCTTATATGTCTTTCTCCACCCAGCCATTTCACTTCCTTCCTAGTGCTGGGATTAATGAAGTGTGTGCTTTCCAGTACTGGTAGCAAAGGCATGAGATCCCACGTGCTGGGATTAAAGGCGTGTGACTCCCAAGTACTGGGATTAAAGGTGTGTGTCACCATTGCCTGTCTGTTTCTCTCCTAGACTGAATCAATCTCATGTAGTCCAGGGTGGCTTTGAACTCACAGATATCAAGATGGATCTCTGCCTCCTGAGTGTTAGGTAGGATTAAAGGTGTGTGCCACCACTGCCTGGCCTCTATGTTTAATCTAGTGGCTGGCTCTGTCCTCTGATCCTCAGGCGAGCTTTATTTGATACACAATGTATCACCACAGGTATGCAGCCCTGAGAGGTTGACTCACTTGGCTGGGGTTGCATAGAATTCAGTGCTGGCTGCTCCCCAGGGCTCTTTCCACTGCGCATGAATGAGCGGGTCCCAGTGCCCCGCTGAGCACACCAGATTCTTCAGAAGACACTTGGTTCTTCTTCCTCAGAAGTTTGGATCCTGGGGATGCAATATGGCTCAGTGGATAAAGGCACTTGCCATCAACCCTGACAACCCGAGTTCCATCCCTGGGATCCACACCATGGAGAGGATTCCCTATGTTGTCCTTTGACTTTCACACACACACACACACACACACACACACACACACACACACACACACACGTAACTTAATTTTTACAGAGGAAAGTCTGATTCTGTAGGCTTGCTGTGAGACCTAAGAATGACTCTGTTAGAAGACAGAGGAGCTGGCGAGATGGAGGCGGTCTCCCGGGGGACCATAGCACCCCTCTGGCCTCCATCCTGGCCTCTCCACACCCCAACCTGCCTGTCTCAGTTCTTCTTCCTCTCCCTTTTCTTCCTTCCTTCTCCCTCCATCTTCCTCTTCCTCCCCCTCCCCTCTCTTCCTCACCCTCCTGTGCTCTCCTCCCCCTCCACTTCTCCCCTCTCCACTCCTTCCCCACCCTGTCTCCTCTCTCTCTTCCTCTTCCTCCTCTTCAATTCCTCCTCCCATGCAAGAGAACAAGAAAGGAGTCAGGATTAAGAGCTGAGGGACAGAGAGCAGGACCTCAGGCCGCGCAGAGGAGGACTGAAGGACAGGTGGACGTGGATACACGTGTATGTGTGCGTGTGCGTGCGTGTGTGTGCGCGTGCGTGCGTGCATGTGTGTGTGTGTGCCCACAGACACACACACACACACACACACACACACACACTAAACACGAAAAGAAAGAGGGCCTAAGAAGCATTCTCGGGGTGTCTCTGTTAAGTGGGGAAACGATCAGCAGACCGGTTACCTGGACACACACTCGCTGTTCACAGCCTCCCTGTAATGTGGGTGTGCTTGTTATCATGCCGCTTTTCAGGGGAAACTGAGGCTCATATGTGGCTTCATTTGGGGCCAAACAGACCAGCAGTGGACAGAGCTAGCCAGATGGTTGTGTGGTCCACAGCCCACACTCCTAACTGCCTCACAGGACAGTGTTAGGGATGAACCCAGAGTGATCACATTCATTTGTGGGGCTGGACGAACTCCACATGGGAGGGGACACTGTTGTGAGCTATAAAAAAGACCTCATGGTGAGGGGCACCAGAGACAGGAGCATGGTGAGGCTGACCCATGTTGTTGTTTATGCAATGAGGTGAGAGACAAGAGGGCCCACTCAGCTCAAAGGGTTTGAGGCTTGTTTCCTGAGGGTGCTTCTGATAAAACGGCTTAAATTTTGTTTTATTGCTTTGTTGTTGTTAGAGTTTGCCTCCCCACCCCCACCCCCACCCCCACCCCATGTCCCAGGCTGCCCTTCAACTTCCTATGTAGCCAAGGGCATCCTTGAACTTTAAACTTTAGATCCTCCCGCCTTTACCTCCAGAGTGCTAGGGTTATAAGTGTGCTCCACCATTTTACCAGCTCTGCCAGAAATACCAGACCCCCGATGATGGCTCTTCCTGACAGGTTATCACACACACCAGACCAGCCAAGGTGGTCCATGCCAGAGACAGAGCTAGGAGGATCAAGAATTCAAGGTCATCCCTGGCTACAGAGAGAACATGAGGCTGGCTAGCCTGGGCTACATGAGGCTCTGCCCTGCTTGTCACCAAAAGTCCAAATTCTTCCTGGGGAGAAAGAGTTGGGAAGGTACACAGGAGGGAAATGGGAACAGAAAGGCTTTAGAAGACACAGAGTATTGCCCAGACAGGGGTGTGTGGATTCACGAGTGCACAAGCGTGCAAGGATAATTAATACCCAACAGCTCAGTTAGCACAGCACCGTGGAAAGGCCTCGGAAAGAGAAAGGCAAAAGAAAAATTGCAGACGGATAGACTGAGGATAGACCCAGAACTGTAGATTTTAATAACTGAAGGATTTCTAGAGAGTCTGGGGGAGGAAGCAGAATTGAGTTAAGTCAAGATTTATAACAGGTTCCTGGGACAGAGAGCGTCACCGTTATTTTTGCATTATTACAGGGCAATACCTCAGGCAGGCTGCTTAGGAAGGAGTTTACTGAGCTCACAGTTCTGGGTGAGCTCACAGTTTAGGGGTGAGGTGCCCGCATGTACCTTGTTTCCAGCAAGGACTCATCACAGCCGATGGCAACAGCAGTGGCATTGGTAGGCACCAGTGACGGCATTGCCAAGCAGGAAGCCGGTCAGAACGACTGTGAGGAGTCACTCCCAGATGCCAGCGTTCCCTTCTAGAGTAGCCCCCCGCCCTAAGAACCTGGCCTGAGAACCTCCACTAGGCCTTACCTCAGAGATGCCTTCAGCTCCCATCTCCACACAGAGGACCAAGGTCCCAACACAGGAACCTTTGAAGAAACATTTGACAATATTCAGACCATAGCAACCTCCATCTCTACTTAGGGATCAGAGGTCACTTCATGGTATTTACCCGTGATCCATCATAGCTATTTGTGAGTGTGGCCCAATAAATAAATAAATAAATAAATAAATAAATAAATAAATAAATAAATAAATAAACAAATAAATAAATTTAAAAAATCATAAACTCATGTAAAACAAAAATGGAGTGGGGTGGTGCCTGGGGTGATAACCGAGTCAGTGAAGTATTGACACGCAAGTGTGAGAAACTGAGTTCAGATCCACAGCACCCAAGTGGAAGTCGTACTTGGTGATACATGCCTATAACCCAGAGGGAACACAAAGGCAGGTGCCTGGAACTTGATGGCCAGTCTAGCCAATCGGTGAGCTCCAGGTTCATAAGATTGATAGACAGCCTAGCCAATCGGTGAGCTCCCGGTTCCTAAGAGCCCCTTTCTCAAAACAAACAAAACAAACAACGTGGAGGCCCCTGGGATGGCTCAGCTGGTAAAGTTACCTTCACCTCGTAGACAACATCGTGTCGCAGTGGCACACAAAATGAACCTATGTGTGCTTTGGCAACCTGAGGACCATGGGCTGGTCCTCCCTGTGTGGCCCCAAATAATTTGGTTCAATGTGGCCCAGCAGAGCTGAAAAGGTGGGCACCTCCTTTCTAAAGCTCACCCCAAATTAGATTTTATCTTTACCTTGTTGTTTTTGTGAACGAAAAGCCTCACACAAGCCAGGCAAGGATTCTACCAATCTTAAGCTGCCATGCAAAGAGGGCAAGATAAGTGGTTTTAGTATTATTGTTACTGTCACTGCTTTTTTAAAAAATGTTTAAAGTTTTATTTTGCATGTGTGAGAGTTCTTCCTGCATGTATACATGTGCACCACACACATGCCTGGTGCCCAGGGAGGTCAGAAGAGGCCATCAGATCCTCTGCAAACTGGGGTTATGAATGGCTGTCAGCGACGGTGTAGGTTCTGGGAACTGAGCAAGAGCAACAAGTGTAGCTAACTGCGACTCCATCTCTCCAGCTCCATCATTGATAAGGCAGAGTCTTACTGTGTGGTCCAGTCCAGCTTCAAACTCACCGTCTGCCGGCCAAGCTTCCCTCTTGCTGGGATCATCCAGCGCTGCCATGCCCCGCTGTTATTTTGACAGATTTCTGCTTGAGGAAAACCAAGCCTATTGATGAAGAGGATTGCATGTTGTCACCATTTCATGACCTGTTGCTGAAAACTGAATGGCTCCTGTGGGGCGTCCTCTGTGGTGACAGCTGGTGATTCCCAGTGACCAGAGGGAAGTGAGCCCTCGAGGGTTCTGTCCTGCCTGGATAGTTCCACCCCGAGGGTCAGATGTAGACAGCGTGAAGGAGAGGGAGAGAGGGCTGCCGGAGGCCTGGCCTACAGAAGACAGTGTCCCACATCCCTCCCTTCCTGCCTTGCCTCAGACTCTACAGAGGGCTGTGTGTGTGTGTGTGTGTGTGTGTGTGTGTGTGTGTGTGTGTTACACATGTGTATGTGTGAGCATGTGCGTGAAGGCCAGAAGACAATCTCAGGTGTCATTTCACATGTGTTATCCATTTTATTTTTCTTTCTCTTTTGGGATGGGATCTCTCACTGTCCTGGAGCTCGACAGGCTGGTTGGCTGGCTGGCAAGTCCTAGGAAATCCATCTGCTCTGCCTTCCCAGCACTGGGATTATGAGAGTGTGCCACTTTTTTTTTTTTTAAAATGTGGAATCTAGGGATTGAACCTGGGTCCCTGAGCTTGCAAAGCAGTCACTTTACTGACTAAACCATTTCCCCAAAGTCCCTGTAAAGTACTTTTGTTTGCTGATGTCATTCCACTCCTGGGAAGGAAGCAGAACACCCACAAAACAGCATGATCTTGTTTTACAGAGGAGGGGTCTCCAAGAGACTTTCAGGTGACATGGATTCCAGGGAGCTTGGGAACAGCTCCAACATCAGCCAGGGGGGGTGCTACCCCAAGGTCCCCTGGAGCCAGCAAAATGGAGGTTCACAAGGCCATGAAGTATAGGGCCCCAGGTAGGCTGTGGGTGAGAAGGACAGGGCAGGACTGGAGTTTGGGGGACCCTCCTTGACCCTTCTCACCCCTTAGATCTCTCTCACCCATCCACTCATAGCTCCCTCCTGAACTCTCTTCTCTAAAACACTGTGTCCCCAAACCAAGCAATTGTCTGCCAAGTTCTGTCTGCCAGAAAAGCTTCTCATTTTTCTTTTTCAAAACTCTCGTATTAAAAGAAAATCAATACCCATGGCAGAGCCTCGGGCAGATCAACTGGAGACGCCTCAAGGCCTTTGCAAGGGGCTTCCAGCTTCCCAATGCCTCAGCCATGAACCTTTCTCTGGGTGGAATCTTCCACATGCCCCTTCTGGGATGCCAGCCCATACGCTTTTCTGGACAACAACCTCCCCCCCC